AATGGCCCCGGCACCTCATATGTTGTGTAATAATTCATGTGGGACGCTGGACCCGGTTTCCAGCACATGCTGCTCCCCACGAATAGATTGGAGCAAATTCTCAAAAAACAAAAAAAAAGGGCTCCGGAAGATCTAGAAGGCTAGAAGCCTCTATTTTTTATTATTATTTTTTGTTATTGTTTGCCCGCAAAAAAATCTCTGTGAAAAGAAAAGAAAAACCCACCCATTTCATTATGTTTTTTTTATTTTTTTCTTTCTTGTAGGTTTTTGTTTTTTTTTTAAATATAGCAAATCTTCAAAAAATCAAATAAAAAGCATAGGGTTGTAGATCTCGAAAACATCTACAACACTTTTTTTTTTTTTTTGCTAATTCTTTACCAAGGAAAAAATTATTCCTGCGCCTGCTCAAACCGCGCTCGAGCGCTTTTGAGCGCGGGATTGAGAGAAGCTCAAAAATTTGAGCTCCGACCCCGCGCTCAATCAGCGCGCGGTAACACAGGAGGCCTGTTTTGGCTGGATGGCAGTTCACTTCGACCAGACCTGGCATGCAAGCGGCCTCTTCGTAGAAAAGGGGATGGGTGCGCCTGGGTTAGAATAGGTGAATCTAAGGTGATCCATAATGTACAATAAGAGGAAGAATTCAAAATTGTTGAAATAGGCCTCAAAGTTGGGAGTATAACAGGGGATTCGGGAAAACCTCATAATCGAAGAAAACCTAACATTTCTTATAGAATGAAAAAACAAAAGTCAAACTGTTATTTTTTACACAAAAAAGAGCGTTTTTAATCGTTTTGCGATAAAGGAGGCAAAAAATCAGGTGAAAAGTCTGACGTCCCTAAAAATGTGCAAGAAAACCCTTCCTTGCAAAATGCTTTTATATGACTATAAGTCATTCTCAGTAGATTGGCAAAAAAACAGAGTTCAAACAGGGTAATTTTTAAGGATGACAAGGCAAACTTGAAAGATGTAAAAAAAAACGTGTTTTGGTGAATACTCATTTATAGGACTATTCAGTTTCCGCAGTTAGGTAAAAACCAAGCTCTGCACAAAATAATTTATAGGACTATAAATCACTTTTGAACTTAACAATAAAACCCTTATCAAAAAATATATGTCATTTAAAATAATAATACAAACAACTTTTGCCACTGAGACACCTTGAAATTCTTAGCTAAACACGAGTTTAAAATAATAATATAGGGAAAAAAATGAAAACAAACAATAAAAAATAATATATTCGCCCATGTATGGGAAACCATGTTCAAGCGAACGTATTCACGAACAGGAAAATATGTTTGCCCGTTCGGAAAACCCCCGAATAAATTCATCGTGCTACACATCTTATAGGACTATAAACACAGTTTTTTAGGATAAGAAAAAATCAGGATATTTCAGTTCTTGAATCTACGGTGCTTCACCAGGTTGTGATTTTCTATGAAAAAACCCCCTTTTTTCCTCCCTCCCTCCAGTAGTTCTGAAAATTTAATTTTCTGTTATTTTTTTTGCGGATGTTTCACTTCACTTGTAATTTTGTTCCTAGAGGAGACCTGAAAAACGTACTATCATAATCTTGAAAAGATTTCGTGCAAACCTAACAATTTGTTTTGTTAGGTTTTCACGAATCCTATGTTGTATGTGGTCAGAAAGCCCTAGAACCCACTGGCAGGGGTATTGTGGAATTTCCTCCTCACAGTTGTGAAACTTTGTGACATGCGGCAAAATGCCTCACTTAGCCCATTGGACCCAGCTTGTTTCACACATGCCCTGGCAGAGGCCTGTCCAACTCCTGCAGAACCCGCATCCCCCGGTACTTCTTCCCATTGGATTCTTGGTGCCAGTTGGTGGCAAATTTTGTAGATGCCCCTATACATGTTTCAACAGGGCATGTTTTTTGTTTGCAACTCTCTCTCACTCTCTCTCTCTCTCTCTCTCCACATGTTTGGCCTGTGTACAATTGGGGAGGGACAGGAGGCTTAGGAGGAAAGTACAAAGCAGAAGAATCCTGGCCCATTGCAACGAGCCTCTTCTTTCCACACCAGCGAGGGCACATAATCACACCACATGCATGTATGAGATCACACGAAGTTCACAATGGAGGCCAGAGAGATGAAGACCAGGTAGCGCAGCTTTAGAATTCCAACAAATTATCATACAAACAATAATTACGAGTTTTGGTCGCACGCGCCCAACTGGCCCCAACAGCGCAAGTATCCAGAATCTTCACTCAGGTATGTAACTTCCCCGAAGCTCTTCTCCCTTCTTCCTCTTGGTCTTCTCTCTGTCTTCTACCTCTCTGTGTCTCCCTATCTGCATGCACTCACACTCTCTCTACTACTCATTGTACTCTAGGACCAACTCTGAATACATCCACTGCCAACTCTATTAACCCCTCTGAAGACTACTACTAATTACTAGCACTAACACCCTGCACTGGCGCACCTATGGCTGCCTTCTCCCTGCCAGCGCTGTCTCTCCCTCTCTCTCTCTCTCAGCGCAGCACTCTGGCTTCAGCGCTCTGGCCCTCACATTAGCGCACAAGTGCACCAGCACTTCCACACTTCCTGTGATGATGTGAATGAGCTATCTGCCGAATGAGGAGGCTGGCCAGTCGTTTTGTAGTCAGACTCTTGGATTGCACTTCAACTCGTGCCAGCCTCTGCTTCTTGGGGCCTGACTGGGTTCCGGTACCACATCCCCACGGTCTGTCTGCTTTCGGCCTGGAACTTTCCCGAATTTCCGTTGGTCTGCCGTTGCTTGGGCCTTTGAGTCATGACTTTTCAATTTCGTCATATGGTTTTGCCTGTGGACTGACTAATGCCTCTGGGACACGACTCTTGCCTGTGGAACTGCCCTTTTACTCGTGGGATGTGACTCTTCAATATGACTTCTCATTATGAGACGTGATTTTGCACCTAGACGTGACTGTTTGCTGGGTGCCTGATGGACTCGACTGCTAAGGTGCCCTACTGTGACCTTTCTGAAATTGGCCAACTCGGCCTTTCACAGCCAGGTACCCTCTTATGCAGAAGTTAAATGGTCAGTACATTTCCCAGTCGTTGGCTCGTCGGGCATGACGGATTCAGTTGTTGTTTTGCCGGATATCACTGCATGCAAGTTGTTTTGCCGGACATCCATGCATGCAAGTTGGGCCTCCTATATATTCCATTTTGCGATATCAATGCATGAAAATGTCGTTGCTTTGCCGGATATCCATGCATGCAAGTCGGGCCTCGTATATATTCCATTTTGCCGGATATCCATCCACGCAAAACGGCACCATGTTGCATCCTGCCCAGCTTGCCAGCATAGACGGCATTTTCTGCAAAATGACTGGGAAATGTACTGATGGTTGAATAACATTTGGTGATTTCAGGGAACCAGGGTTTTTTCACAGATAAGCCTACCATTTAGGGCCATTTCAACAATGTGTGAGTATTTCAACAACGTTCCCAAAATAAAAACAAAAATTTCAAGAAGAGTCAAAGAAATAAAAACGGTCTCTTAACACCAGTCACGCAATCTGCTTTCCATTCAATTGACCACTCTCTCTCTCTCTCTCTCTCTCTCTCTCTCTCTCTCTCTCTCTCTCTCTCTCTCTCTCTCTCTCTCTCTCTCTCTCTCTCTCTCACACACACACACACACACCACACACACACACACACACACACGCACACACACACACACAGAGTTTATCTCTGGACTAACACCCATTCCGTGAGTGTGTGTGTGTGTGTGTGTGTGTGAGAGAGAGAGAGAGAGAGAGATTGTGTGTGACATGTGTCACACACACACACGCACACACATGCACGCACGCACACACACACACACACACACACACACACACACACAGGTGATCTCTGAACTCCCATTCCGTGCATGTGTGTGTGTGCGTGCGTGTGTGTGTGTGTGTGTGTGTGAGAGAGAGAGAGAGAGAGAGAGAGAGAGAGAGAGAGAGAGAGAGAAACAGAAATTTCGTCAAAACGGACATTTTTTATTTTTAGGGTAACTACGCGGCGGTCACAAAAACAGTTTGAAAATGAAGTCGAAACACGGTTTCTGCAGTCCAGTCAGGCCCGACATTCGAACTGCACTTGAAACTTGAAACTTAGCATTGCAGAAATTGCAGTTTTGTTTTCGATGTGGCCCGTGGCCTAGGGTCTGCCCCTGGCCCGTGATCCGGTGTTCAAAAGAGCAGGAAGGTGGCCTGCGGTCCAGCGTCGAACAGCTAAGACGATAGCCTTTCGATTCAGCGTCGAACAGGTAAGCCGGTAGCCTTTCGTTTCCTAAACATCGGCCATCTCTCTCTCTCTCTCTCTCTCTCTCTCTCTCTCTCTCTCTCTCTCTCTCTCTCTCTCTCTCTGTGTGTGTGTGTGTGTGTGT